CCAGTTTGGTTTAAGCATCCTTTATGATAAGAAATGGATTGTCGTGTCAAGCCCATCGGGAAGGAGAGGAAACACAAATCCCTTTTCTTGTGGGAAAGTAGATACAGAAAGTACTGTACTAGCTGCTTGCCTTCCCAGCAATCCCACAATTACGGCATCGTAAGGGTGGGAAGTCTGGGTAGGCAGGAGGGCAGACCGTCCCCTACCTCTAGCAAGCATGGAGGGAGGGTTACACAACTCTGCATCATTGCTCCAAGCAACATCAATAGGCGGGAATCAGATGCAAACAGCACGATGGCAGGAGCACCTGTTTGACAAGTTTTCTAAGATGCCTGCCGGGATCCTTGCAGTGTCTCTCTTTTGATTTCTCACCTTGTCCTCAACCTGCTCCATTAGGAACTTCCGCCGAGGAGGAAAATGGCCTCTGCCACATCCAGGTACTGGACAGGTAAGGTGGAGAAGGCCAGGTGTTTGAATTTACCCTTCTAGCCTTCTTGGTTAAGGAAGAATTTCATAGTTTTCCTTCTCATTCTCCTTTCCTTGTCTGGGTCATGGTTCCGACAGATGAAACTCTTCCAAAGAACTTCGAGGCATTGTTCACCTTAAAGAATCTTTCATTCAGGAAACAAAGTATTGGCACTACCTAGCTCAGACATGTCAAACACAAGGCCCGGGGGCTGGATGCGGCCCGCGAAGTGGTTTCATGTGGCCCGCGAAGCCATCCTGGAAACAGTGATGGAACGGCCCCCGCTGCCTTGGCCCTGGCCCAGGCCGGCTGGGAGCCAATGTACGATTTTGTGGTGGCCATCTTGGCACTTGCCCCGGTGGACCATTCCTTGGCACTTGCCCCAGTCCCACCCCCTTCTGCCAGAGACCCTCAGATCTGTCCCACTCCTGCCCAGGCCCCCATAGGCACACGTGACGCAAACTGGGCACGTCCACCCAGTAGGCCATACCCACTCCATCCATGCCCACCCAGTAGGCTGCACCCACTCTGGCCACACCCACCCACCCCCCTCCAGGGCAATTGCAGTGCTGTTGCGGCCCTCAGTGAAATTGAGTTTGACACCCCTGACCTAGCTGAAACCAAAATCTAAATTCCCTGCCAAAACACTATCAGCTCTGGGCCCAATGTCCTTGGGCTCCCACGGCTGAGTTATTATTGTTATGACTAGCTGGACTCTCATCCACATTCCCTCTCCCAGCATCGACTAATTCTAAAAGCAATAGAGAAAATGGCTGCTGTTGTCAAAAGCAAGAACATCCGATGTTAGCAGCGTTGACAGTCTGTATGTAACCCAACCTTTAATTTCCAGCTAGCTCTGTCAATAAACCACACCGGTGGCCTGAAAGGTAAACCCCCTCCATGCACAGGTGATAGAGCAATAATAGAGTTGGAAGGAACCTCAGAGGTCTTCTAGTCCAACCCTGTACCCTTCTGTCCAATCTTTTCTTAGAAACCGCCAGGGTTGGAGCATTCGCAGCTTCTGGTGGCAAGCTGTTCCACTGGTTAATTGTTCTCTCTGTTAGGAACTCTGTCCTTAATTCCAGGTTGCTTCTCTCCTTGATTACCTTCCATCTGTTGTTGCTTGTTTTGCCTTCTGGTGCTTTGGAGAATAATTTGACCCCCTCCTCTTCTTTGTGGCAACTCCTCAAATATTGGAAGACTGCTATCATGTTACCCTTAGTCCTTTTTTTCATTAAACTAGACCTGGAACTGTTCTTCATATGTTTTAGTCATATGTCATTTAGCCATTGGGCCATGTCATGCGTGCAAATTCATTGGAAAAGGCAATGGTGCTAGGAATGGTTAATGGAACAAGCAGAAGGGACAAGGAACGGGCAGGCTGGCATGATAACATCAATCTGATACAAAGATGAACATTCAACTACTGAAAGAATCTGTGCTTGACAAGGCATCCTGGGGATCACTTGCCTATAAAGTCGCCAAGAGTCGGACACGACTGAATGGTTAAAAATCTGGAAGTTTTTAAGAAGAGACTGGACAACCATTTGTCTGAAATGGTTTAGGGTTTCCTGCCTGAGCAGGGGGTTGGACTAGAGGACCTCCAGGTTCCCTTCCAACTTTGTCATTCTATTCTATTCTATTCTATATTCTATATTCCATTTTCCATTTTCCATATTCTATTCTATTCTATTCTATTCTATTCTATTCTATTCTATTCTATTCTATTCTATTCTATTCTATTCTATTCCATTCCATTCCATTCCACTCTATTCTATTCCATTCTATTCTATTTCATTCTTATTTCTATTCTATTCTATTCTATTCTATTCTGTTCTGTTCTGTTCTGTTCTTTTCTTTTCTATTCTATTCTATTCTATTCTATTCTATTCTATTCTATTCTATTCTATTCTATTCTATTCTATTCTATTCTATTCTATTCTTTCTATTCCATTCCATTCCATTCCACTCTATACCATTCCATTCTATTCTATTTCATTCTTATTTCTATTCTATTCTATTCTGTTCTGTTCTGTTCTGTTCTGTTCTATTCCATTCCATTCCATTCTAATGCGTACTAATGTGTCATTCTGCAGATATGTTCAAAGTTAACCAGCTGGTGGCACAGAATCCTTTATCTACCATTTCCACCAGCGGTACAATGTACACCTCCATTAGTTCTATAATTAAGGCAGTTAATATATTACACCCTCCTCCACCTCCTCCTCCTCCTCCTATCGCTTGCAATTTTCCATTTTACCACCTTAGCTTTCTCTGCAGTGTACCTCTTTAGCGGGCTTAGTCCTTGGTGTAAGCATTCCAAGCTGTCAGAACTGCTTCGCTGTGTGATTCAAAGGTCCCAGGACTCTTTCAAAAGAGTCCTACAACAGTGCACAGGACACCGGTTTCCTGAGGTGGCTGTTTAGGGAGCCTCCAGGGTGAGCAGCAGTTTACCTTAATGTATTGGGATCTAGCCGTTGGAAGGAGCTACAACAGCTTAGCAGGAGCGTAGGCCTCCAGATGTTGTTTTCTTTAAATTCCTCATTATCTTTTTTTTAGTACACCCCTTTCAGCCCTCGAAACAGTGGGAAGTGCTTTGGGCCCAATGTCTGTTGTATGGGAAACCAAGACTGCTTTGGTGGGCCTTCAGCCAAGCTGAGTTTCTTTAAGGCAGTGGTTCTCAACCTGTGGGTCGGGACCCCATTTGGGGTCGAACAACCATTTCACGGGGGTCGCCAAACGACGCAGTCCGCCATTTTCCCCCCCTTTTCCTTAGCTATGCTACTCCCTTTTATTCTATTGGCTTTTGGAAGCCAATAGAATAGACTCTCTTGAATCGAGTCTAATTCTATTGGCTTTCAAAAGCCAATAGGATTGTCCAGGCTGTCTCTGCCCTGCTGAGCCCGCCAAAAGTCCCATTCTGCAAACGGTGCTGCACCAGTTGAGTAGTCCTCGACTTACGACCAGTTGAGTAGTCCTCGACTTACGACCGGTTGGGGGTCGCAGCATTAAAAAGGTTGAGAACCACTGCTTTAAGGAGACGTCCTTCCCTCTTCCCTGCAAGGCTGGTGGGAAGCCCTGTGGTGGATGATGCGATGGGCCTGGCATTTGCTGCAATGATGGTATTTATAGGGATGGGGGGGGGGAGAAACCAGGAGTGAGAATGGGGAGATGGAGAGAAAAAGAAAGATCAGACAAGATATAACAAATTCAATTGCACACATCCTCCGCTAAATTTCATTATGATCTATGACAGGGATCTTCAAACTCGGCCCTTTTATGACTTGTGGACTTCAACTCCCAGAATTCCTCAGCCAGCGTGCCTGGCCGAGGGATTCTGGGAGTTGAAGTCCACAAGTCATAAAAGGGCCAAGTTTGGAGACTTGTGTCTTAAATCTAACAAACAAAATGGAGGCTGGCTGAGGGATTCTGGGGAGTTGAAGTCCACAAGTCATAAAAGGGCCAAGTTTGAAGACCCCTGATATAGACTTTAAGAGGAGTGGACTTCAACTCCCAGAATTCCTCAGCCAGCATGCCTGGCCGAGGGATTCTGGGAGTTAAAGTCCACCAGTCATAAAAGGGCCAAGTTTGGAGACTCGTGTCTTAAATCTAACAAACAAAATGGAGGCTGGCTGAGGAATTCTGGGAGTTGAAGTCCACAAGTCATCAAAGGGCCCAGTTTGAAGACCCCTGATCTATGGGGTGTACAGGTAGTCCTCGACTTACTACAATTGAGCCCAATTGCTGAGTTTGGTTAAGTGAGTTTTGCCCCATTTTACAACTTTTTTCACTGCAGTCGTTAAGTGAATCACTGCCATTCTTCCGTGAGTAACAGGGTTGTGAAGCGAATCTGGCTTCCCCACTGACTTTGCATAACAACTGTCTCACTTGACGATGGAAATTTGGGACTCACTTGTGGTCGTAAGTTGAGGACTACCTGTATGCTGCCTAGGATATTCTGGGAGTTGAAGTCCACACATCTTAAAGTGGTCAAGACTGAGGAACAATTACTTATTTAGCCAGTAGATGGCAGTGTTTTCAGGTTTGAATCTATGGTATACACCAGTGATGGCAAACCTTTGAGAGACTGAGTGCCCAAACTGCAACCCAAAACCCACTGATGCTTCTTCGGGTGCTGGGTGGGTGTGGCCCATGGGCTGGGTGTGGCCTATTGGGTGGGCGTGGCTGCGGTGGTCACGGCAGGCTGGGTGGGACTAAAAAGTTCAATCAATCAATTCCAACTTTGCAAGATCTTTTTTTTCCCCCGTGAGAAGTTGAAATTGACTGATTGATTGGACCTTTTTTTTTTTTTTTTTTGCACACGGCGGCGGAGGCCTAAAGCGAAAAGGTTTTATAAAACCCAGCTGAAGGCCCAGGACTGGGGCGACGGCACGCGTGCCCACAGAGAGGGCTCTGAGTGCCGCCTCTGGCACCCGTGCCATAGGTTCGCCACCACGGACCTAGAACTAAGCCGGAATTTCCTAACAGGGAGAACAATTACTCAGTGGAACCGCTTGCGTCCACAAGGTGGGGG